AATGATAACAATAGATCTTCAAATAGCGAATGCTATATAAAATGCATCGACCTCTTTACTAAGGTAAATTCTTTTCATGTCATATTCGGTTTTCTTTTTTTGTATCCTAGAGTTTAAAGGTTAAAATAAAAAGCTGCTAAATCAACTTTAAATTGATCTGAGATGGTTTGATTGCAGATGTCTGTATGTCTTAAATTTTCCTTCAGAAATCAACATGAGATTAGTTTTTGAGGTAAAATTTAATTTAATAAATTTGCTGCTGCGCCCGATTTTTTATTTACGTGTTTTTTTTTATAATAGATTTATAGTGATGTCCAAAAAATTCCATCTGAAAACGATCATTTCATTGTAATTTACTATGATATCCGCGCTGCTCATGAAGCCAAAAGATCAATAAACGGCATAAATATTTGGGTATCTTAAATCTGTTGATTTAAAATTCTTTTTATATAATTCTATCAATCCCTTGTTTATTGTTTATTTATTTATAATTAGGGTGTTCAAATCCATGTAGATTTCAAACAACATCAAATAAATAGTTTGGACCTAATGCTAAAAAATAGATCTGAAGTTATCCCTCATTTTTACCCTAAAAATATTACCATGATTTCATCTGGTAACAGAGCTATCGCAGAAAAAAACAATCTTGATATTGAAAGAATTAAAAATAGTTTTTTTTTTTTTTAATATTAATCCACTTGATTTTATTCTTTTTATTAAATTTATATTTTAATATTTTATATTTCACAATAGGTCTTGAAAAATGTACCACACTCATGATAAGGAATATTCCGAACAAATATACTTTACAGAAACCCATAAATTTGCTTAAATATAATTATAATATAATTGACGTATTTTTATTATATATATAAAATATTACAAAAATAAAATATATTATAAATATTATAAAAATATATTAGATATATTATAAAATTATTGTAAAAATATTTTTATATTTCTGTTAACTCGATAATATCTAAGTTGTTAAAATATTTCTAAAATATGTTAAAATTATAATACAAAAAAAAATCAATGTAATTAAAATATATTAAATATATAATAATCATATTTTTTAATAAATAAAAAATAATTATAATATTTAAATAAATAACAATAATAGTAGATCTACTTGTTATTATAAATAATAGTTACTTGTTATACAATTTATTTATTAAATATAGAATTATATATTATATAAAAAAATTAAAACAAATAAGATTTTTAAAAAATCATTTATAACTACAAATTTTTATTATGAAACTATTTTTGTTTACTAATAAAAAATATTCCTTGACCAATTTTACATATAATTTGTTTATTTTAAATTTTAATTATAATTTCAATTTAGAAATATTTAGCATTAATTTTGTAATTTTTCTTTTAAAAAATTTTTATTAGCTGTTAAAAATGTGTTAACAAGTTAGATATTATTAAGTTAACATTATCAAATTAAATTACA